AAGATAAATTTTTAACTGTGGTTTACTATATTAATGAAATTCAAATGCGAAAGTTTAATGTGTTTCTAATAGCTTCATTATGCATTTGACATATAAAAGTGAACCTTTAATTGTTACAGAATGTTACAATATTGTAACAGTAATTAAAATATTAAATGTATATACCGTGTTTACTCGTGTAATAGTCTAATTTTTTATGCCAATTTTCATTCTGAAAGTATTATGGCGGAAAATCTATTGCACAATATTGTACACTTTTAACGATTTTTTCTACTTCAAAATGGAGGGCAACTATATTACGCGAGTAAATAAGGTATATATTTATCTTCGAAGGACTTGTTTCATTAATACTGAAGTACAGAATCCAAACAATAATACGGATGCTAATTAATTTTAACATACTCATGGTTTCGAATAACTATATAATACTATAGTTATTCGATAATAACTATGTAATATTATGGTTATTCAATACAATATATATTACATACAATATAACAATAATTCTTTTATGTGTTCCTTTTCAATTATTTAAAGTTTACTGCATTGGAATTTTCCGGTTTTCGTAATAACGCGTGCAAATTTTTGCCTCTTTATTTGGGCTCTAAAAGTTCTATGCTAGAACTAAATTAACTGATAATTAAAAAATAGAATTTTGATCAAAATCGCAATCTGATCTTAGCTCTCATATTTTAGTTAACTCCTGAAATAAATTTAAGCAATGGTAGATTTATTAGAATAGCCTATCATGACTTAAATTGCTAAACTTAAAGAACTAGTCCCAGAAATTTTAAAAGATGAATATGAAAGCTTATTTAAAATGAACCCTTCTAAAGGTAAATCAAATGGTATGTGGAGGGTCTATTGTATTTCATCGTAAAAATGGAAATGTGTGCACTTATTTAACAAGGAAAAGCCTTAATTGAATAAATATCTGTCGTTGAATTGCTTGCACACGAGGTTTGCAACAAATACATGCGTCAAAAGGGAAAACTTTTTATTTTGTTAACGTACGGAATAAATAAACTTGAAATAATAGACATCTTGAAAAAATTTCCTTGCTTAGTTTTTAAACATCAGAAAGTTATATACCTTTTAACGTATGCTTTCCACGGTCAGACTAATGCATAAATACTCGCTTTTCTCCATTCAATATAATACATTTTAACTAATTATAATCACAATGCTTTATTTAAAACTGCATATTATTACTTATACTAATCAAAAGCAGAAAACACTACATTTGCAAACCTTGATTAATATATTACAGGAATAAATTATTAATTAAATTTTAATATATTGCCCTGATACATAAATCGGAGTTAAAAAAGTTTATGATAATAAATAAATCTGAAAGGCATATTTTAATTTTATATTCAACTTAATTGATAGTGAATCGCTAGAGTTATTACGTTTTTAGTGGAAGGAAAATTGGCCATACTCTTGCCAGGATTCGATCTCTAGATTTTTTATTGAAAACCAGAGATGCTACCAATTACATCACAAAAGCATGCAGTGGAAAAGGCGAAAAAATTCCCTATACTTGTAAGATTGGCTATCCGTATCTATTGATACGGTTTTGTAAAAATTAAGTTTTATTTTGTATATTCGTATCGTATAAAGAATATGATTTCTTATAAGTCATGCTTATTATTACACAAAAGAATACTTTAAAATGTAATTAAACTTATTATGCATTGCTGTTTGTAATCAATATTTGCAACTTTTCTGTGCAGACGATTAAAATAAATTGTGAAATGTTTCAGAAAGGTAAATCTTTCAAGTTTTACTTTTTACTTTAGTCTTAATTTTTGTTTTTACTTATTTCCACTTTCATTAGAAATTCAAAATTAAAAATACATTGTCTATAATTTCTGAGAATATTTTAAAGGACCATTAGCAAGAAGTATTTATGTAAAGTACTAAGAAAGAACTTTGCTTTGAGATTGCTAGCTTATTAAAACTGAGCTTTAAAATCATAAGGAAAATTCTCTAATTTTTTCTTTTGTCAAATAACGTTACTAAAACGTTCATTCGCAGAGTACAAAAATTATTATAAAACATAAAATGCCTAAATAATTATTTAAAAACAGAAACATAGTAATTTACAGCTTATTATTATTATTAGTCCAAAGGGATTTGAATCCCGAAGGACTATTAGTTTCGTTTTGGCATTTTGCGTCGGACTCATAAACGTCGGTTCACTTTTCAAACTGTTGCCACCAAAATGTTAGAGTCCTGCATTATATTTGAAGAAATTAAATAATGAAAAATCTGCATAAATGTATGTATATTTCTCGTATTGTGATAAAACAACGGTACATAGAGTCATCGAATTTTGAATAACGTAATCCTCCAACGAATATGAGCATGTGGAAGACCAAATTTGAAATTTGAAATTTTGTTTTATGATCGATTTCCTATTTTTTTAAAACTTTGACGAATTTTTGATTAACAAACTCAAGGATTTCAAAGCGAGCAATGGCAACGTTGTGCAGAAAAAAACATTTTTATCTCCAGCGCGTGAGTCTCTGTATCGGAAATTCTAAAGATATACTCGTTTTAAAACTATTTTGCGATATTGCTGTTGCACTGGATCTTATGGTTTAAGTGCGAGGATCATGATATTTAATAAAGAAAGGTAACACACAAAATGTTAAAAAACGCCCCTTTGGACGTATTTTAAAATTTGAAACATTTCAGATTTTTTTTTTTTTTTTTTTTTTTTTTATTATTATTATATTATTAGTTTTTTCAGTTGCTAAATTCTTACTAAAAGAACGAGTTTTTCCACCAGTAATTGCTAAAACACCATTGCGAAAGTATATATTTCCAACAAATGATAATCTGAACAGCAAACGAAAGTGGCTTATTGTTATCAGTGCAGTAAAAGTTTGCCGTACTCAAGAATAAGACTTTCTGCCCCCCCTTCCCTTGCAAAAAGTAAAATAAGCAACAAATAGACGTGATAACGTGAGTGTTGGGTTAAAAAAAGATTTTTATCACTTCAAAAGGGAGGAAGGAATAATGTCCCCAAAAGTCCCCAAAGTCATTCTATATAGTATAGATAGAGAGATAATCTCTTTTCTATTTATCTATTCTATATAGAAAAGGAGTCACTGGGTTAACGACATCGTAATTAAGGACTAATGATTTTAAAAATTAAGTGACATTTCAACATTAAAAAAGATTTGATATCATGGAATACCAAGTGTTTTTGAGAGTACTGAAAATTTTCGAAGATCAAAATTAGATTAATTTTAATTAAATTTCATCTGTAGAAAAAGTTCAAATATGTTGAGTAAACATTATAAGAACATCGACAGACAACTCAAAAAGTGTAAATAATAATATTAAAGTAGAAGCAGTTATTGTTTATTATATTTTTCTTTGTAAAATATTCATTCTATACTTAGTAAAATACAGTTTTAATATTAATTGCAAATTAAAATATAAAGAAAGAAAATTATGATATGAAAATTTAATTTTGCGTTTTTAATATCTCGAGTAGTTAAAAGTGATGTATGTGTGTGTAATAATTCAATAAAGGACTTGAAGTGTAGGAAATGGCCGTTAACGGTGAGATGTTTAATTACTAAGGCTTTAATGCGTAGATTCCCAACGAGAAATGCGTAGATATAATGTTATGCGTAAACATAACGGAAATAACACTCGATGAAAACAACACATTAATTTTTTCGTGGCATATATTCCATTTACAGGCAAAAGTTTCCTTAATCCGTTTGGGCAAGAGCTGTCACACTATAGCATGACTGCATAAGAAAATCAGAAACATTAAATTTAAATGCGCTATCCAGAAAAATTATTATAAAAAATTTACAAGAGAAAGGGGACATATCCAAATTAAAATGAGGAATTATAATGCATATTACTAAATTAAAATTAGTAATGAGTTACATATTTTATATCTTGCATATTATGGAACGATCTTCGGGCTTTTAGGCTTACGCCGTAATCAGACCGCTCTGCGTCCGCGTAATTAAAATGCAAGATAATTTTCTTAGACAAGGAAGAGAGAGGAATGAAAGGAAGAGAAGTCAACTTTTAAATCATTTGAATTTTGAGTAATTCTGAGATCTTCTCCATGATGTGTTATTAGAATTGTTTCTATGTTAGCACTATTAAATAGATTGAGGTCTTTACTACATACATATGAATTTATTAATAAGCATATTGTCAAGGGTTAAATTAAAATTTTTATTGCTTTAGGCCTGGAAAAAAATATCTACTTAAGAAAAACTGAAGGTGTTTTAAGAATTTTAACAGGTCAAGAGTTTCATATTATACATGTTTTTATTGCTGTGTGATTTCTCTTATGTGTATATTTATTATATCGACAATTTGAAAAGTTACATAATTTTTCGCAAAGTGTCGAGAATTTTTTTACAGCTTGATCATTGTGCTTTTTAGTACTGCGTTTCATATATAGTTTTTGGAATACCAAAAACTTTCCCATGCTATTCCCAAAATTATCATGTCTTGAAAGACAGAAAACAAAGATTTGGTTTGGTTTATTTAGTTATGGCAAAGCACTCGAAGGCTATCTGCCTGAGGAAAGATATGCCTTCGTGGAAGACCTTCCAGGGGAAATTGGCTAGTATGCCTACACATGGGAAAAACAACGAAAGCGCCCAAGCAGCCAGCAAGTTCGCTGGGATTCGAACCCCGGCAGTGTTCAACGACTTTACCTCTCGCCCGCCTCGGAAAAGAAAGGATTGAAATATAATATTAGCAAATAAAGATAAATACAATATTATGTTATATTAGTAATCTGAAAAATAGCTCATTTTGACATAGGTGCGTTTTAATGATTTAGGGTGCTTATGAAAACGATATGGTAATCGATTTTCATTGATTTTCAGAATATTGTATCATAAATTAAAATTTCTATTTCACACTTCTAAATTTTAGTGAATACCTCAAAATTTGCATAATGAATGTTGAAATCTCTGTTTTTATTTTTATTTATTTATTTATTTATGTATTTCTTGCCAGTTGGTGCAGGCTCTGCTGGATCTGTGATTGCAGCTCGGCTTTCAGAAGACCCTTGTGTTTCTGTCTTGCTCTTGGAAGCGGGAGGGACAACCAACCCAATTGTAACGATTCCAGCCACCGCCTTTGTTATGCAACACACTGATATGGATTGGCAGTATAAAACAGTTCCTCAAAAAAGAGGTGCATTTGGCTTCGAAAACTCAGTGAGTAAAATCATGTTGTCTGCTTTCATATTGCTCGCAAATAATTTAATGTAATTTTTTTCAATGATAATATTCGATTGACAAAATCACTATAATTTTATGAATATAACGCTGATTTTTGTTGTTTGACTTCTGAATTAGTTGTTGTTTGACTTCTGAATTAAAATTTTATCTGTTTGTGTCTATAGTCTATAGAGTGTAGTAAACTTCAAATAATTCCTTAGCTATAACAAAAATTGCTTCAAATTAAGAAATACTAAGAAAAAGCTTGCTTGCAAGGCATTCTTCGTATGTGTTCTTATGCAATGGTTAGTGTATTAGGCAACCGCACGAAAGATTCCGTGCTCGATAGCGAGTAGTGGTAATGTTTACTTTGAAGGATTTGGAGCTCCAAAAAATAGAGACCAAGATCTTGGTCTCTATTTTTTAATTTATGTGTCTCTGTGCTATTTCATTTCTCCATATAGCTGTTTATTTGTTTAAAAAAATCACTTTGTAAGATTGGATTTTAAAAATGATGCTATCGGTAGTATTCAGGAAACAATAGATTGTATAGTTAAGTGTATTTAAGATTACAGTAAGTCCCCGCTTAACGCGGGTGATACGTTCCATCAAAGTAGAGCGTAATGCGAAACAGCGCTAAACGAGGCTATCTTTACATGTAAATATTGGGGTTAGGGAAAGATAGCTAGGAAATTGGTTAGGTATTAAATTTAAAAAGTATGTTTTTTTAATAAAAATAAAACCAAACATTTATTTCTTAAAGCCCAAATTAATACCACATTATTATTTCTTGCAAAAATAAAAACAAAATATAAATAACAAAACGAATATTCTTAAAAAAACAAATAAAATTCTCAGTCAGTCATATTTAGTTAGCCTTCCGCGTTTTCAGTGTTCTGCCTTTTTGTGACAAAAGCATCTAATGTTGTTTGCCTTATTCTTTTGCGTTGTTCTCTTAAAAGTTCTTCATAAACGGATAGAGCATCTCTAACACCACTCCTTACTTTTGAGCTCTTGTCAAAATTCGGATCATTTTCAATGAATTGATCCATTATTTCAGTTATGGTAGACAAACTCCTTTTTACAAACGCCATCGAAAGTTCTTTTTGCTCTTCTTCTGAATCACTGCTGCCAACATTTTTGTTTTCTTCTTGTTCAGTTAATTCCTTGAGCTCATCATTAGAAAGACTAGCCGCTGCTTCTTGAATTATTTCTTCGACATCTTCCACATTTACCCCTTCAAAATATGTCTGTACAATACCGCACCAAACAAGAAATACAAGTACACTCTTTCGGATATGAACCTATCGCTGCATAATATTTCGGGGAATCCCCGTATGCTGCGAGCGATTTCGTGGAATCCCCGGGTTGAAATAAAAGAGCGCTAAACCGAAACAGCGCTAAACGAAACAACGTTTAAGCGAGGTCTTACTGTATATAGTTTTAAGAGCTAAGGAAGAAAAATCAACCTTTGAATCCCATACAAAGCTGACCTTTGAGTCATTTATTTAATCACGTATATGATTCAACGTGTAAATTTTTCATTTTCTTTTCTTTAATGCGTTGAGGAACCCACCAGCGGCCGAGCGGTAAAGTCGCTGAACACTGGTAGTTCGGTCTGAGGTTCGAATCCCGCGAACGGGCTGACTGCATGGGCGTTTTCGTGGTTTTCCACATGTGTAACGTGTATACGAGCCAGTTCCCTTAGAAAGTCCTCCACGAAGGCATCCCTCTCCTTAGGAAATAAAAATTTAATTCTATTTAACGCGTACCTTTAGTGTTAATAAGATTTTCAAAAATTCTAAATATTAGCTAGATTTTTTAAAAATCACAAGAATTGTTCTTAATTTACAATATATTACACAAAATATCTTCTTAAAAGTCTTTAATTAACAGGAAATTTATGAGAAGTTTGCTTAAAATTTTACATGAAATATTAGGCAATTAGAATATTTGTACTGTAATAAAATACTTGTTATATCCAAAAAGGTAAATAATTTACTTTCAATATTATAAAACTAACGAGCCACAATATTAGAATGCTGTATGTACTGCAATAAAATATTTGTGACACCCAATAAGGTAAATAGTTTACTTTTAGTGATTATGAAACTAATGAGCCACCATATTAGATTTCTGTATGTACTGCAATAAAATACTTGTCATAACCAATAAGGTAAATAATTTACTTTCAGTTCGTATGAAACTATTGAGCCACCATATTACTCTAAAATAAAAGCCACTCAAACATAAAACTTTCTTTACATTTCAGGATACATTTTATGAGATAAAAAAGTAGGTGAATATTTTATCTTGCAGTTGTTCTGAGGGAAAAAAATTTTAGTTTTTTTTCCCCTTCCTTAAGAATTTCCCTGGTATAACAACACCGCAGATCTGGCGCAAAGAGTTGGTTAATCATATACTGCTTCCTGTTGGTTTTCAGACATTAATGACCTGTACCGTAGATGCAGCCCTAAACTGAAATTTCTCAGCTAGCTGTGGTTATTATAATTAGCAATTCCATTATCATTCATCAGTTTTACTTATCAAAATACCCGCTTATAAGGCCCAACCAAAATTCAGAAGAAGAAGGTAGCTAATATACATAAGTCTCATTTTTTAGAAGGCAAGGTTTTGCGCTTCTGTTAAATATTTGAGTTGCAGAAGATACGTTTTAAATGAAATTCCGAGCATTGGATAATAGGTAAGCGTAGTAAGAAAGAATATTTTTGCAGAACAATCTTAGAGTAATTTTGATTAATTTATTTATTCTAACAACGAAAAGAATAACTACACTCATGTCCATAAATTAAGGATAATACAAAATCAGGCAAAGGAAAGGTTAGAAGCAAATAAATTTGACTTATTTGTAAAGCTTATTTATTAAACAAAAGGTAAAGAGCCAAAAAAGATATTATATGTTTGATATTATTAAACAAAATTAGCGATTGTTTCTCCCTGGAGCAAATTACAAATAAAACTTATTTACAAAAAAACAGTATTACATGGTTGGTATGATTGTTAATACATTGTATGTCTCCCAGACGATGCAATACAGTCCGTACAACGTCTAGGCATGCTTGCTGAGTATCAAATTATCGATCTGATCTTGGGGGATATTACACCACTCAAAAAACAATGCTCTCCGAAATTCCGGTAGACATGTAGGAGGAGGTTGACGGGCTGCAACTCGTCGGCCAAGCATGTCCCATACGTGCTCTACTGGATTCAAGTCCGGTGAGAATGCTGGCCAGTCCATACAAGTGATATCCTCCGATTGAAGGCATTCGCTTAGGATGTTTGCACGGTGAGGACGGGCCTTGTCATCCATAAACCATGGCGCCCCGAAACAAACGTACGTGTTGTTCCAGAATGACGTCCCGATAGATTTGGCTTGTCATGGTTCCAATTTGAACATGCAGGTCAGTTCTCGAACCCAGAATAATTCCACCCCAAACGAGCACTCCTGCACCACCGTAACGGTGTCGTTCAATGATGTTTTCTTGGTGTTAACGGGTACCTGGAGGTCTCCATATGAAAATCCGGCGAGAATCAGACTGCAAGCTAAACCTGGACTCGTCGGAAAACATCACACAAGCCCACTGTTGCGGTGTCCACAATGCATGCTCTCTACTCCAGGCTAACCGCAGGCGACAATGAGTTGCAGTAAGTGGGACGCATCTGACAGGTCTACGAGCATACAGACCAATCTGCCCTAAGCGTCTGTACACGGTCTGCCTTGAAATTGTTGTACCAGTGGCTGAAGAGAGCTGACGAGACAGGTCTGAGGCTGTGCTCCGCCTGTTTCTTTTGGCAGTAACTGCCAAAAGAGACAGGTCTGAGGTCTGAGACAGGTCTGAGAGACAGGTCTGAGCCAAAGAGACAGGTCTGAGGCCGAAACTGGTATTTGGCAGTTTTCTTCCTGTAACTGCCAAATACCAGTCCTCATTCGGCGTTGTAACTCTGGGACGACCTGTGCTGTAACGTCTACTCACATTACCATCATCTTGCAATCATTGCCAAAGCCTGGAGATGACACTCTGAGTAATTCCAAGTTCGTCTGATACTTCCAGTTGGGTACGCCCACATTCCAGACGGCCGATAATTCTACCACGTAAAAAATCATCCAAATGCGTCTTTTGTGTCATAACTATTCGGTTATTGCAAAGCGCCTGCGAGCAAATTTACTCCTTTACCTGTATTCCTTATATATCACTCTCTTACACTCTCGTCATTGTGACGTGCCATCGGTGTCATCTGGTTACTTCTTGAAATTTGCATATGATTCTTGAAGATGTGTAGTGATTTTACAGGTGATATATTTTTTTAGAGTTCGATTTCCGCGTGACTCCGAATTATCCTTAATTTATGGACATCAGTGTAGTACTGACAATCCTGACCTATAAAAAATCTAATGACTTCCTTCTACGGCCTGTTAAGTTATGCACACTTTTTTCCTGCATTCAACTTACTTCCATACATTTCATTAGAGATATTTCTCATTCAAATACCATTCAATTCATTTCTCACTTCGCAGCAAGGGAAAAATACTTAAAAACTCAAAACAGCTTGATTAAAAATTGAACAACACAGACAAAACCTAAAACATCAAATAGAGTTTAAATTTATAAAAATTAGGCAGAAAGACAGATTTCTCGATGCACAAAACTCTTAGCTCCACTATGCTACTAAGTTTCGTATGTGAATAAAAGGCGTTTAGTGTAATTTAGGCTTAGTGTAACTTAAACTTTTAGTTATACTAAGAATACTTTATATAACTTAAACTGCTGATAATTATACAACTATTATATGCAGATTAACTAAAGCATAAAAACCTTAACTGGAACATTATATAATTCAATCACTTTTTAAGCAAAAAATGCACAATCTACCAATATATAAGAATAAAAATACTAAGCTCACGGATCCGGGTGATAAGTGGGTATATTATATATATATTTATATACTTTTGGTGCAGCCAATTGTAACCGAAAAGGGAGTCACACATCTGCATGTTATTGCAATCATATATACAAAATTTCATAGTTGTGAGGCTACTCGTTTTTGAGTTATGCGAGATAAATACATACGTACGTACGTACGCACACACGTACGTACAGATGTCAAGAAAAAGTCTTATAAATCCATTTTAAATCGCTTTCACAATCCGTTTTGAGAAAAAGAGTCCTTTATTCTGCCCGTACGCATAGACGTAATGCAAAAACATAGTTCAAATGGAATCGAGAGCGGTCAAAGCGGATATTTTCGTTGAAATACGATACCCGACATTTTCGCGATTACTATACTTCCTTTACTTCGTACAGGAAGGTCAAAATATCTGAGTTCTTCGTTTTAGAGAATGTTAGTAACATCATAACTAAACAAGACAGAAGAGACACGCGCCTCAAATAAATCATAACAGTGAAGCAACAACTTGAGTTTGGCGTAGATTTTTAGCATAAAAACTATTGATTTAGAGGGCGAACAAAGTCTCTCTTCATCAGGAGCAAAGAAATCTTTTATGATCATAACTACTATTTAGTTTTTATTTCAATTGTGAATAATTCAGATTAGTTTTGTGTTTATTTCCTAGCAGTTGCTACTCAAAGTTATTTTTAATTTGTAATACTGTTACATTTAGAGCATTAAAAATGAGGTTGTTTAATAGTTTAATACATAATATGATTTTTCAGCAACTCCCATGGCCAAGAGGTAAAGGTGTTGGTGGCTCAAGTCTTCTAAATTTCTTTATGTATGTTCGGGGTAACAAGAGGGATTATGACACTTGGGCCAAAGAAGGAGCTACTGGATGGGCTTGGAAGGATGTTTTCCGTTATTTTCTGAAATCAGAAGACAATACTGACCCAGAGATGCTAAAAGATGGTAAGTAATTCATTACTAAGCCATGCACATTGTGCAATCCTGTAATAAAACTGAAGTCTTTTTGGTAAAATTCTGTTACCATTTAGCAACACAGCTTAGTGATATTTGTTGACGGTTATGTTTGAAGTTTTATAAAGGAATTCGATCTCCGATATGATAGAAAAAGTATTAAATCTAGAACTGCAGCCAATGAAACAAGTTTAGTTATGATCAGCAATTTAATGGAATTAGTAATCATCGCCATTGCCCGAATTCAAGACCTCAGCTTGACAGTAACGTTTCTAAATTCCCTTTGGGTTGATTAACCAGTTATTTTATGATTTAGATGTTTCTTGTCACTTCCGTTTCTACGCCTTAATGCAAATTAGCTCGCAAGTATTTAAGATGAGGTATTTAAGACAGAGTGTTCTGCCACTCGAGGTCACGTTACGAGGTTGGTAGCTAAATAAAATTTGTAGCTTTCGAACTTGAATTGTAATTGCTGATGTTAAATCTCCTCGCCGGTTAGATTGAGAGCCAATTTCGCATTAAATTGACTAGCTTATTTAATTCAAATTTTTTAATTTGACTTACTTTAAATTATCTGACCATAAGCGTCGGCTGAACTTGTAAGCTCTTTCTGTTCTTTTTAGTTTTAAATAAAAGGGTTTTTTACTCCCTTCTAAAGGCTCAATTATTATTTAGACTTAAAGATAATTCGCTTAACTTCTACAAAGAATTTGAACAATATTAGGTGATTGCAAAATATGTCAAACTTTACTCGTTTTATAAAAATTAATAATTTATAAAGCCATGTACAGCTCTTGAATCCTATTAAATGCATGTTACCTTAAGTCAGAATTCCGGTATATTTATGATATATTATCCCTTTTATAGTTCAGTTTCATGTATGCAGGCACTGTTCACGAGATTTAGATTTATGTCTCAGGCTGTTAGAGAATGCTACAGTGAACAGAGAGCGATTAAGGAATTATAAGCGAAGATACAGTTAATCAAAACAGGTGGGAAAATCGTTGCTGCTATAGCAAATAATACTTTACAAAGTATAGTTGGGGACTGCAATAAATCCTCAATTAATATTCGATATATTTCGAAATAAAGCTAAAGTTAAATGCTTAAAAGAGGCATATTTTTCTTCTTAATCAAGAATCTTTCAGTTGATTAAATTACCAACAGAGAATAACTATAGAATTCCAATATCAGTTTGATGGTATTCAAACTCAAATTATTATTACATCAAAAAATTAATTGGAAAGGTAAATAAAAAAAAATCTGAAAGCTTTCAGATTTTTATATTAACGTTTTTTATTTATATTAACTTATATTTAACTTATATTAACGTTTTTAATGTTTTATGTACTACCTTTATTTATTAAATATCATGTTCTTCGCACTTGAACCATAAAATTCAATTCAACAGCAATATCCCAATATATATACAGGGTGTTTATAAAGTCTCGGACCCATTTTGATGTTTAATAACTCATAAAATAATAAAGATAGATTAAAATTAATAACATAAATGGTTAGGTAGACTCAAAAAGTTTCATGACCCTTGTCAATGAACTTCCACGTGTGCTCCCTTCGTCGCACGGAGAATATCAAGTCGATATTCAATTCCACGCCAGGTACCGGCAAGCATGTCGGCATCCACAGAGGCTATTGCGGTTGTAATTCTGGCTTTTAGGTCATAAATATTCGACACTCTCCTCCTGTAAACACTGTCCTTTACAAATCCCCAAAGGAAAACGTCCGGCGTCGTTATATCAGGTGATCTGGGTGTTCAAGGAATTGGACCTCCTCGCCCAATCCATCTTTCTGTAAAATGGTCATTCAAAGAACTACGAGCGATGGTACCCCAATGAAGTGGTGCACCATCTTGTTGCAAAAAGACGTGGCTGAAGCTCTTCTAGTTGTGGAAATACTGTTTTCCAACATGTCTAAGTATACGACTGATGAGACCGTCTTTTCTGTGAAAAAGAAAGGCCCAATGACTCGGTCGTGCATTAGTCCACACCACACATTAACCTTTGGGGAATCCCTTTGTGCCTCACAGTATTCATGGAGGTTTTCAGATCCCCATATGCACATATTATGGCGATTAACAATGCCAGAAAGATGTCAAAAACAAAAGAGAGAAAAATGCAATTAATAAGCAGACGATATTTAGAAAAGTACAGGTATTTAGACTGGAAAATGAAATTATCCGAAATTAACCACACGCGCAGACGATATTTACAAAAGTAAAGATATTCAAACCTGAAAAGGAAAATATATAAGTTATTCCATCAATAAATGCCATAAGTTTGTTTATATCTTCATTATTTTAGGAGTTATTAAACATCAAAATGGGTCCGGGACTTTATAAACACCCTGTATATACCACACTAAAAAAAAAAACGGGATTCTCGCGTGAAGATCATGTTGTCCTAGTTTTTCTTATTTTTATTGACAATATTTCTCATACATAAACATATTAAACTGAAATATAATCAAAAATATAATTAATCAGGTAATCCGAGAGAAAGAATGAAGAGTAAACTAACCTAGGAAGAAAAAAAAAAAGTTACATTCCGAATTCTAAATATTTGTTTACATAAACATTTATTGCAAGGCCTGCCGTGAAAGAGATATCAGACCATTGCAAACGTACGATCGCCAGGGATCACATGATCGTTTTATTTTCATCAATTTCAAAAGTGAATCAACGCAGAATGCCAAAACGAAATTAATAGCCTTTCTGGGCAAATTGCTCCTTTGGGTTAATAATATATTATTATGGCAAATATATAGTTAATAAATTACTAAATAAAATAACACATTATTCTTACATGTCTTCGCAAATTTCAGGTTATCACGCAGCTGGTGGCCCTCTAACAGTTTCCAGTGTGAGATACAACAGTTCCTTAATGGATGCTTTTGCTAAAGCAGCTAAAGAACGAGGTTACGAATATAAAGATATTAATGGAAAGAGCCAAACAGGTAAAAACAGATAAACCTATCCTGTCATTTACTTATCTAACATGCACTAAGAAGAATTAATTCAGCACAAATACTTATGTATGACAACATCTTTACCAGGTTTCTTCAAACTTCAAGGCACCGTGCGAAACGGCCATAGGTGTAGTACGGACGTAGCTTACCTGATACCAGCTGAAAATCGAACGAATCTAGATATCATTAATAATGCTTTGGTGACGAAGGTAAAACTCCTCTTTTATTTTATTACCTGCGTAGAATAACAGTTAGAAATAGATAATTAATGTTCCTTAATGGAGGCTTTTGCTAAAAGAATTGTGATTAAGAATTTGGAGGACATCGAAAGCGATCGTATAGCCGAAACTTTAGAGTGTTTAGTGTCGTTATAATTTAACATGCAAATAAACGAATAAAAATTAATGAAGGTATAATGATGAAGATATAATTTTGATAGCAACTTAGTAGCAACAGCAACAACAGCTTTGTGGTGCGAAACTAGGAACTGCGTATTTATTAATAATATGGAAATCGTAACTCAGTCATTATGATTTAGAAAGAGAAAATATTTCAAAACTTTGATTCCAAATTCAGATAAAAAAGGCTCACTTATTGACTATGATTTTTCTTGTCCCATAGGACTGAACTCTTCTTCCGAGTAAATAAATGGCACACCAACGATTGCGTAGTTTCTTTGGCATGCGCTTTGGAAGCTAGAGATTTGCCTTTTTCTGTCGCAGTTCTGCAACCAATGTGATGTTTGAAAAACCAATAAATGATTCGGTCAACATTATGACTCTGAAGTTATTAAAGTATCTAAGGTAATCACAAGTCACCTTAAGCTTCGTTCAGACGGGGGCGTAAAGGCCATAAGTAGTTAAAGCCGAGCTCCGTTGCCAAGGCAACCAGTCTGTGCTACGTCACAAAATCTGGTTTAGAACTCGGGGCATAGGGTTCAAAGTTTTCAACTTTACGCCGAGTTTGGGATAAGCGTCGTCCAATCAGAGCGAAGCTAAAATGAAGCGGCGTTCTACAGAAGATTTCGCTGTTACAAAACAAGCAGAGCGAGCGTGGGAAATCAATCGAGCAGGACAACGGCGCGGGAAAGTTGTAGACACATCCACGCATGCTCAAATTTAGCTTCTCTCATTGGCCACGGCTTTACACCCCGTTCTCACAAGTGTGAACGGAATTCCCGTATTTTATGCCCTTATGACTACGCCTCTATGACCTTTACGCTGCCGTCTGAACGCAGCTTTACAATCCACTTTTAATGAACAACGGAATACACAGTTAGCATGTGAAATAAGAACTTGCTTACGTATGAAGGTTCCGTCTGTTACTTACCTTTACCATGTGCAAACAAAAACAGAAACATTTGTTATTCGTAATGTTTGAAAGGTCCCACCAGCGTCCGAGAGGTAAAATACCTGAACACTGGTAGTTCCGTCCGAGGTTCAAATCCCACGAACAGGATGGCTGCATCTGCGTCTTCGTGGTTTTCCCTATGTGTAACGCGTTAATACGAGCCAGTTTTCCTTAGAAAGTCCCCTACGAGGGCATCTCTTGCCACCATGTAGTGCCTTAGGGCTGAACACTTATACAATAAAATAATAATAATATCCTTGAATCTTTTTTCATGAAGCCTTGAATATTCTGGGTTAATTGATTTATTACATTCCCGTTTTAGATTCTTATCAACAAGAGGAAAGAAGCATATGGTGTCCGTTTCGAAATCAACAACAATGTTTATGAAGTCAGGTCTAGGAAAGAAATCATCGTTTCTGGAGGAACCGTCAATTCTCCTCAACTGCTTATGCTGTCCGGTATTGGCCCAAGAGAACATCTGGAAAAACTAAACGTATGTTTTGTCTTTCTTATTTTGTTGTTCTTGCATTATAATCACACGTCTTTCCTCTTGGTTCATACTTTCATTTCAAAACGGAATTGCTTTTATTAAATTAGAATTTTGAACACAAAAGTAAAATGATTGTTCGTAAGCAGAGAAGATATGAAATGATTTGCTGTAATTGTAGAAATATTTAGTGATATAAAAATAAGATTTATGTATTAACCTCTTTCTAATGACTCTGCAACTCATTTTGAAAGCTTGACGTTCGTCACGTTTTTATATTGAGTACTTCACCTTTTAAACATATGAAAAGCTGTATTTTGAAAGTAGCTTACGTAATCATACGATATGTACGACAGAGCATGTACAACGACTATATTTATATCTAAAACTGATGGAAGCTGTCTTTGCAATTTCAAGGCTCTTGGTCTACGTTTTATAGCAATTGATTATAATATATCACTACTTGTGTATCAGAAAAATAAGATCTTTTGCATTTTCTCAGGATTGAGGTATTTTAAGACAGCAGTCAGTATCTTGAGATGCTATTCTGAACAGTCAGTATCTCAAGATATTTGACAGTTTATCTTTTTCAGATTAAAAATACGTATGAGCGAAAAGTAAATATTTATTATCTTCTTTTTATAGATACCTGTGGTAGCCGATCTTCCAGTTGGTGAGAATTTGCAAGACCATGTAGGAACCACTGCGTTGAATTTTGAGGCACCGGGAGCTGAACCTTTGTTGATGTCAAAATTGGTGAATCCCATAAATCAGCTAATATTCCGTGAAAACGGAACAGGTAACGTGTAAAATCAGGCCTGTATCATCTTGTTCATCCTGTCGTAAAATGCATAAATTTTTCCTTTATTTATTATTGGCTTACTTTAGATTAGTGAATTAATGGAATGTTTAGATCTTCAAAAAATTTTGAAATATTTTCAGCATAAAATCTGCATTCACTTATAATATACACTGACTACCAATAAGTATTTGGACACCTAAGCAAATGACGATATCTGCGGTCCTAAGGTACGTCACGGACTCCGCCGGTATATATCGTGTAGGAAACAGCATCGGCTTTAGTCGCATGCAAGATGCCTCGCAGTTCGGAGCTCTCTGATTTCTAGAAAGGTATAATTATCGGGTATCACAAATGTGGCCGATTCTTAAGGGCGATCTGAAGTACCCAAAATCTAGCCATCTGAAGTACCCAAAATCGACAGTGGCCTATGTGATTTAGAAGTAGAAGGTGAGCGGTGATTGTCAGAATGTGCCCCGAGTCGGCAGGCCAACGAAACTGGGAGATAGAGACCGACGAGTGCTATCCAGAGAAATTCGGAAGAACCGCACCCAACCGATGACCCTCATCCGCGAGGAGTTTCAACAGGGAGTATTGTTCCGGGAGCATTGTTTCAATGAATACCATCCGTAAGGAAGCATATCTGCTTGGTTTTCATGGTCGTGCTGCTGCCCATAAGCCTTTGATCACAAAGTCTAACCGCGCTGCTCGGTTAATGTGGTGCAAAGGACATCGAAATTGGACCGTAGATCAGTGGAAACGGGTTCTTTGGAGTGACGAATCAAGGTTCACCCTTTACCATTCGGATGGCAGGGTCTGGGTATGGCATCTACTTGGAGAACGTCTCCTGCCAGAATGCATTGTGCCAACAGTCAAGTTCGGCGGAGGTGGAATTAAGGTCTAGATGGGTTTCTCCTGGTATGGGCTGGGACCCTTGGTCCCATTCATGGTAAGCTCAACTCCGATGCCTACTGCACTATTTTGGGTGACAATGTGCTTCCTACGTTGTGGCAGTTTTACGGGTTGGACCCCTGTTACTTTCAGGACGACAATACCAGTTGTCATGTTTCGACGTTAACCAAGGCTTGGTATGGTGCCAATGGAGTTCATCGAATGGACTGACCTGCACAGAGTCCAGACCTGAACCCTATCGAGAACCTCTGGGACGAGTTGCATCACCGAATTCAGGGGTGCACTACCCGTGCAAAATCGGTGAAGGAACTTCTATGTCTTCTCCAAGCCGAGTGGAAGAAAATACCACTAGCTGTCATACAAAGACTTGTGGAAAGTATTCCCCCGGGGGGGGGGTCCACGCTGTAATTACCTCTCGTGGAGGCTCTACCAACTATTGATTTTGAATTTTAAGTTAGTTTCTTTTCTATCACAGGTGTCCAAATACTTATTGGTAGTCAGTGTATTAGAAATGAAGTGTTTAGGATTCAGAAGGAATTGTCTCTTAACTTGAAAAATAGCCTTTACTTAACCTAAAGTGACAAATTTCCTCCACTTTGACTGCAACCGTCGCCATAGCTTTTTGTTAAGTAACTTTAAGGACTATTCTAAAAGGGCATGGTTGCAAAGGTCAAGTATGGACTATATATTTCACAGGACACTGCAGCAGAATTGCGTTTCGAAAATGGTAGTTAAGAAACGCTCTGTCACTCGTTATTTGGGGAATTTCTACGCGTATAACAGCACGATATGCATGACAGCATGATTGTATTTATATCCAAAATTCATGGAAGCTATCTTTGCGATTTCAAGGCTATTGGTTAAAATGTTATTTGCGGTACTGTTCCTCCAATTGCTGCTGGAGAATGGATAGATGAATTCATCAAAAGTGGTATTAATCTCAATTATCAAAATTCTGGTCGTATTGAAATCTTAATAGATAAGTTAATGACGAGAGGCTTTTTGGACATTTTTGAGAATTTTGGACAAAGCTGGTGTGTTTCAATATATTTGTTTCTTGCTAATGAATTTTTTTGGTAGACTGTCATAATGCCCATATTTAGTACGAATTTAGATACAAAATTTAATTTAATTAAATAAGTATATTTTCTCTGACTTATGTCAAGTTTGAAAACTTTCTGATTTGTCATATTTTTTAACTGATATATTTTGACATAATTCGACGAAATAGAAGGCCGGTGCCCTGAAGCCCAGGCCATTCCCTTTGGGCACAAGCATGCTTAAATTAAAGCAAATGGATCTTCGAAATAAACTTTCAGATATTATGAAAATCCAATTAACTTATTTCTATTTCTGCACATGCGAATTTGATATTTTGAAAAAGTATCGAAAAATGCATGTCTTTCCATATATAAGTATGCATATTTACTTAACTATATGAAAAATATAACAGCATTATTCTTATTTAACTTTTAACCTTGGCAGGCCCTTTCACTAGTTTCTCTGGAATCGAAGGTATGGCTTACATCAATACGAAATACAACAATCCTCGTCTAGATTGGCCAGATGCTGAAATTCATATGGCTGCTGGTTCTCCAGCGAGTGATTATGGTCAGATATTGAAGGGTGCAGTGGGACTTACTGATGAGGTAAGTTGATGTAGCTTTGATTTGATTATGAAGCGCGAATGTTATTTTTTACAATTTAAACAATTGTAAAAAACAGAAATAGCATTTATATTAGTCAATATAGAGAATATAAAATAAAAAATACAATCTTTTAAAATATTTTTTATTTTCTTTACCTTGAAAATTTAAACAAACTTGGTAATGGTATCTAAAAAAAAACAAAGAAAAATTAAAGCCAGTCCCCCCCCCTTAAATTCTAATTAATTCTTAGAACTAACCTCAGAGAACTGAACCAGCTGCCGCAATCCTTCTGTTTAACAGTTAAGCAATTGTAATTTCTCACTTAAATTATACAGATGATTGCTGACAGATAGTGAAGTCAAGAATTACAAAAACATTACTTCTACGCTATCACACAGAGAATGATAACTACCCAGAAAAGTACATTTTCTTTTTGGTTTTTTAAGTCTTTTCCTCGGAAGACAGATAACTACAATAACAACCTAATTTTTTTTTTCATTCTTTTGGCAGGCGTATAGGAAAGTTTATGCACCATATAATGGGAAAAACACTTTCACTTTCTTTCCATGCAACTTGAGGCCCAAAAGCAGAGGAACAATTCGACTGAAGTCAACTGACCCTAAGGAGCATCCCTTGATTGATCCAAATCTCTTTCAGTATGATGAAGATCTTGACATATTAGTTGAAGGTGAGTTGAATTTTTCAGTTTTACTACCATTACATTCAATTTTATTTGATATAAATTAAATAAGCTAGGCACATTGTTTTAAAAATGGTAAAATACAAGACATGCATATCTTTAAACATTCATTTCTATAATCCATCATCCATAAAAAATAATTTGCTTTTAAAGCACAGTAAATACTTCCATTAGTAATATCGATCCACTGAAGGGATGAAAGGCTGGGTCAACCTTGCCAACCCAGTGGCGCTAGCCACTAGGCCTAGTGACCACTAGGCCACTGGGTATTTAATCTTACTTAAGTTAGGTAATACTTTACTGCCGGCCGTTTGGAGTTCTCTGCCCTAAAAGTACTGTTTTCCAGAGGCCTTTTTAAGGAAGCCTAATTGTATTCATCCTTAGAGAAAAGCATACATATCCTAAGGTTTAGTTCAATCATAAACAGTGAAACATGAGACGAGCTAAAATCCTTTGGTAGCTTTATTCATATAGCCGAAGGTTTGGTTTATTTTAATTACGACAAAGCCTCGAGGGCTATCTGCCTAAGGAAGGGATGCCTTCGTGGAGGACTTTCTGAGAGAAACGTAACTCGTATACGCGTTACACATGACGAAAACCACAAAAAAAGCCCATAGTTCACGGGATTCGAACCTCGAACCAAACTACCAGTTTTTAGCGAAATTACACCTCGGCCGCTGGTGGGCAGTATAACCGATAGTTGGACTCTTAATATTTAGTATGTAAATGTATTTTACAAACTTAAAATTTTACTTTTTGTTTAATTTTGTATGAAAACTGTTGTTAAAATCCCATTTAACAGCCATTAAATTTAAAATACCATTTAAGGTATTTATTTGAATTTTATAATTTAATGTCCCAACAACTTCATTTTTCTATACGCAATGCTGATGGGCGGGAGTTCCAAGGACTTGCTTGTTACACATTCCGCCTTAGAAAAGACATTTTTACATACATTTAAACTATTGGAAGCATTAGTTGCTTAACTTTTCAAGGACAGTCTCTTCTCAGCATGGTTTGTATACACTAATAATACCAGAAATCAGTGATCTCAGAAAGTCCTCTCAAGTGGTTAATGGTACAGAAAGAGGGGCAGGAGATGCTCGGATCCACCGGGAATGCTTAAAATTTAGCTAGGTTCAGCAATACCTCAATTACATGTGGTACTAGGGAGTTGCTGGCCTAGCTATTGTACCTGTACCTGCATCTGCTAATATACCATGAAAAGCCGTACAGTTATTAGGGTTTTTTAGTCATTAGACCACTGTGGCTTTTTTGAAGCAAGAGACATGAAAAATGTGCATTGACCTCTTCGGTACTCGAATCCTGGACCTCTCGAACATGCTTCCAATTACACCAGAAGGCATGCGGAAAGGAGGGAGAAAATACCTTATATACTCCCCTATTTAAATTTTTAAAGGGAGTTTGGGGATGAAGAGACCTAGTCGCCAAATCCTGTTGGCGACAGATTATCATCCACTATCGGGCTCCAATGTAGAGTCATTAGGATTTTTTTGAAGCAGATCTGAAAAATGTACAATACCCTCCCAGGGACTCGAAGTTGGATTTCTCGAATACACGCCGAATGTGCTACTGTTACACCCGGAATGCATCATGGAAAAAGGGAGAAAGTACCTTAAGTAATAATTAGAGATTCGACAAATGCACAACGCACATCATATAAAGGAACTAATGAAGTTTGAGAGCCACTGACGTAGCTGAAACCTTTAATCTCTGTAGGTTGGATGAGAAAAACCATACACCTAAAATATTGGTCTACAAGAAACCAAAGAGCTGAAATTCATTTGAATGCGAAATAATATATGATGTCAAATTGTCTTAGAGGTATTTTTTTAATTAATTTCAGTTATGAAGGAATGCGTGAATATAGTCACCAAAACGAAAGCTTTCAAGGAAATCGGTGCCAAGATGTTCCAGACCAAGTTTCCTGGCTGCGAATCTTACCCCATATATTCTGACAGTTACCTCCGATGTGTGGGACGAGCATATACTTTCACACTTTATCATCCTGTTGGTACATGTAAAATGGGTGCAGTAACGGATAAAACTGCAGTTGTTGATCCCAGATTACGGTAAGAATTTATTTTTGAATAAATGAAACCCATTTATTAATTTAATAAATTAATTAATACTAGCTATTTTAGTATATTTAACATAAAAGTATTTTATGGTTAACATAAATGTGCTACTTACATTCTATATAAAATAAAAAACTGTATTTCGAAAACATGTAAAAATTTTCGAAACGAAACAAATTTATTTAGAATGTCGAACATTCCATTTAAGTTTTAAAATTAATTAACATGCAATTATAATTATAATTTTTTTACTTAAAAGTGGAGTGAATAACAATATATTACTTAAATTAGTACATCATTAGTATAATCCAGTACGTACTGAGAGAGGAAAATAAAAGAATCTTAAATAAAATGCATCACCACCATGAAAATTTAACTTTGATTGAATAAATATTTAAAATAAAGAGAGAAAAATTCGCTCAAGTTGAAAATATTACCATTTCAATATATTATTTACTTTTTGGAATGAGATATGTTGCTAAATATAGAGATATGGTAAATATAGATTGAGTATTTAGCACTCAACTCAAATCAATTTACTAAATTGTAAAGATAGGGTAAAATATAAGCATCTACTATAGCAGAGTTGCCCAAACTTCATGTCTGTAAGAGCCGCATCTAGATTTTCTAAAAGCCACAAGTTCATATTTACATCATTATAGAAGTAGTGGAGAACATTTTAAATAGAAAGAAATCCCTGATAATTTCTAATTAATTACTTCTTTTTGGAGACTGAATAGTTTTAGTTTACCATATTTCATGCATATATTTTATATGCACGAGCCACACAAAGTGCCTGCGAGAGCCATATCAGGCTCGCGAGCCGCACTTTGCCCACCCTTGTACTATAGCATACAATTATTTTTAACTTCTATTGTAACCAGTGGTATCAGTTTAAAGCTCAGGAAAGTGAACCAAAAAAGCATATCCTTTTCAAAAGCCCGACCCAAGAACTTTATTACGCCTCATATTTCTATCTCATACCTACCTTTAGCCCAACTTTATTACACCCCACATTTCTATCACATGCTTCTATCTGTTAGTTAGAGCTAGTTTTGAAACTTCGCGTGTTATTTCTTTTAAAGCAACGATATAATGAAATTTCAAAATTCATTAGGTTCCCTCCTTCCTCTGAGTTCGAAAGAGCTCATTTCCATGACTTTAAAAATGGCTCATTTCCATGGCTGAGTCCAATGCTCAAGCTTTACTATTTTGGTACTTTTCCGTTTCGCCGCCGCAAATCTCGCCAAGCAGACTTTATTGGCGACAACACACGGTATACACATAAAGAATGTTAACAAATGTTAGTTCTAAAAATTTTTTATTTTAAAGGTATAAACATTTTAATATTCTTTAAAATTTTGTAAAAAGACAATAAATAAAGGCAACAAATTTGTAAAAACACATTAATTTAAGAATTTACTATGCTTTCATGGTTCAACACCCTGATTTGCCGTTTCGTATCACGTGACCCCAAGTGATCCCATCTGACGTAAACTACGCTACAAAAATCTAATTCTCTCATTAATTATCTACATTAATTTCAAGTTAAATTTTAATTTGGAATACAAGTTTAAATGCAAGAATTATTTCAATTCGTAGGAATAGCTTACTCAGAAATTACGTAGCTAGTGCATTCTCATTAGAATTAATGAATTTAACCCTTGACTTTGCCTTTTCTATATTTTCGCCATCGGGTGAGCGGTGTGATTGCACCCTAATTGACTTAATTTCCGCCCTCGAATGGCCTGTCTGGTCAAAATTCTATGTAATTGTACGCCAGTATTGAAAGAAACAATGAATCTGATAAGAAATGGCTGCGACTTGTTTTGAATATGAGGAGTAAAAGGTTACCAGTGAGGATATTACGTTTGGCATCGGTTGTGCTATTATTGGCGACTTTATCGCCTGCCCCCGCGAAGCGGAAAAGTACCAAAAATGGGTATATATATTTACCTGCCTTTCTTATGGATATAATATATCGGAAAACGTGAATCACGTTTTTCCGATGTGAGTTAAATTGCGAAAAATTTGCTGAATAGTTTTTCAAGAAATTATAAATATTGATCTGTTTCAGCAAGCATTTTATGATGTTTTATATACTTAAAAATTGCATTGTAAAAGTTCAGAAAAAGATATATCAGATCTAAATAATGTACTTTTTCACATATATCGTGTTTAGATAATACGTGTTTAGACATGAAACAGGTGTCAGGAAGCTACTAATGGAAATACTGAAAATATAACATTTTTATATTTAAGCAAAGTTTATGAAAAACTTCTGGTAGTTGACCCAGTTAGTTATTCATTGCAAGTTGTATACTGCCAAAAGGAAAAAGAAAAAAAAAAAAAAAAAAAAAAAAAGTGCACAGTTCTGTCTCTTGTTCTACTGAACCGATGATATGTACTAGATTTATATATAGCACTGTTCTAATATAGATATTTTAATGCAAAATCGGACTTTTCCTGAAATAGCATACGAATTTTTTTCTATATTTCCATTCTACCACTCAATTACTCCAAACTCCGAAGTTTTGCAAAAATCGCACGAGTAGTTTTTAAAAAATTAGCTCTCAAAATTTTAGCTCCTCAATGTTAATTGAGTTTGATATATTTATTAATTTCTTTTTTTTATTAAACTTATTTGATTCTTCTTTCACATTTAGAAATCAAGTTCATTCCAAATAAATTTCGGCATTTTAAGTTATTTTTAAAATTTGTATTTTTCAATAAGATTATAATTTTTCAAAACAATTTTGAAATATAGTCGATAAAATTTTACCATCATCTTAAGTAGATGTTTTCTAGCCCAGCAAAAATTAGATTTTTTATTCAATTCCGGACGTAGAGTTATATATTGGAGATTTGAATTTGGCATTTTGTTAAAGGACAAAACAACAATGTGTTAGACACTTTTGCTAATTATTGAAAGTAGGACGAGTGATTTTCTTTTTTTTTTTTTTTTTTTTTTTTTTTTTTTTTTTTTTTTTTTTTTTTTTTTTTTTTTTTTTTTTTTTTTTTTTTTTTTTTTTTTTTTTTTTTTTTTTTTTTTTTTTTTTTTTTTTTTTTTTTTTTTTCCTACTCCGCATAATGGAAGGGAAAGGAAAATTGGTTCCATATATTTCCTTCGCCAAGTGAATTTTTGGCCAAACTGAAATGTTGCGCCAAGATAATTTTTGAATTTCTCCAAAAATTTCACACCAAATTTTACAAAATTTAATATCGAGGCATAATTTGAGTCGTAGAATCGAAATATGGAAAAAAATGGTATGTTATTTCAGAAAAAGTCAGATTTTTTGGCACAATACCTATATTAGAACAAAACTAAATATAAATCTAATACATATCCAAGACATGAAAAACGCTATTTGAATGTTGTCAATCGGCCCAGAAGAAGAGATATAGAACTGTCCCCCCTTTTTTTTCACAGTGTACAAGGCACTGAAGATAGCAAAAACTGTTTTAAATTATTGCTCTTCATTTTCTTTGTTTTTGATTTTAAAATAATTTCAATTTTTTTTCCAACAGGGTCATAGGTGTCAAAAAACTGAGAGTTGCTGATGGATCAATAATGCCCCGGTTAGTTTCTGGAAACACAAATGCTCCAATCATAATGATCGCCGAAAAAGCTGCAGATATGATTAAGGCAGACAATCCCGACAGACTCAAATGCTATCGACGAAATTTTATCCGAAAACATTGAAGCATTCTGATAGTCGTGATATCCAGATAACCTTATCGAGGACGAGTTAGACATAATATTATAAACTCGTTATGATACTTAAACTGTATCATTTAAAACTTTGTATTACGTTTATTAATGGATTTTAAAATTCATAGTTATAATATTCTGTTTCGTATTATAATTGTGTATTTTCGTAATTTGAATAGGATTATAAAGATATTAAGCATTCTTTTAAATTTAAACTTTACATCTAGGAGGACAGTGGCTTTAGTTAAATAGGCTAAAACCACGTACTATTAAGACAAAATTACAAACTTTTTGTTTATTAATATAGTTTTATTGATATAATTTTTCTCCTTTCTAGTCAGTTAACACAACGTTTTCTTCAAATTGGCAGAGTTTTTTTTTTTTTTTTTTTTTTTTTTTTAAGATTTAAGATTATATAGGTTCATATATCATAAATATTGTAAAGATACAAGAAATTAAAATGTAAGCGGCTACATGAAATTTATATTTACGAAAGATCTGTGACATAGATCTAGTATATAGACATTATTTTATAGTCTGTTAAAACAATTTTCATTTACAGCAAGAAAATTGCTGTTGGATTAAATTTTGTTTTGCATCACAATCTGTAAATAATGGTTAAGTTATTAGTTTTTTGTACAGGATGAGTTTGAAAAAGCGAAGTAGGGAACTGGCAAAAGTAGGGAAGGTGTTGGACTTCCTAAGAGAAGTTTATCCGTTATCACTCTACATATGTGAAAACTACGAAAACCAGCTATGAGGCTAGCTCGAGGATTGAACCCGAGTTATACTTCCAGCATTCAGCAGCCTTAACCGCTCATTCACTGGTGGAGCTACAATGTGCAGCAACCTACTAAGGTTGTTTCAAATATGTAGCCATATTTATGACTCATCCTGTATAAATAGTAGTTTTATTACAGTTTTCATTCACTTTGATATATTTAAAGAAATTCACTGGAATTTCATTCAAAAATTTCGTTCATTTATTATTGACCCCAAAATGTACTCAATAATAAAGTGTGGTTATTCGTTTCATTGTTAGTGGGTTTAGAGATGATAAGGATTTTGTTAATATTCCTTACAAAATTGTAAAGTATTGCCTTTATAGACTGTACATATTTTTTTCTTCATTCACTTTTTTGTGCATCTTTTCAACATTAGATACTATTTCATCACATATGCATTATCAGTGTTCTAAAAAATAATTGCGTATTCGTGCATATTTTATGTGCTTATTACATACTTTTATAATTTTTTGTACTATTTTATTTTAATTCTGGTATTATGGTGTCTCTTGCTTGGAAGTTTAATTATTTGCGTACTGTATTTTCTAATTTTATTGGCCTTCTGTTACTCTCATTTATGTATTTTAAAATGAAAGCCCTTTTGTTTAAAGGAACAATGATTATGTATGAAATTTATTTATTGCTTCATTATCCGAATAATTTTCTAATTTTATTGGCCTTCTGTTACTCTCATTTATGTATTTTAAAATGAAAACCCTTCTGTTTAAAAGAACAATGATTATGTATGAAATTTATTTATTGCTTCATTATCCGAATAAGGTGCACTTCATTTCACTTTTCGAAATTTTGTAATACATGCAAAGTTAAATAAAATAATGTTTAATTACTTTTAACTGTTTGTGCATTTATTCTAGAGTAACACATATTGTTATTCTTCAGAAGCAAAAATCAGCAAACTTAGAATTAATCTTTCTAATCAAAGGATAATCAAACAGAAAAAAATAGCACAATGTTATAAATTATGCATAATCTTCTAACTTCCGTAGCATCTTTACAGCTACCTAAAAATTAATTTTTTTAAAAAAATTACATTTAATTTGATGTACAAATAATAAATAAATAAACGGAAGTAAACAATAATTATCAAATAATGGTAATAAGTAAACAATAATAATTAAACAGAGCAGATAATTCCCAGAATTGTGCCCTATTTCTGTCTGAAAATGTTACGTACTAGCAAGCATTTTTGTACTTGAAAAACTGAAAATAAAATGAACTATTAATTTAATGTACTCTATGCAAAGTTAATTTCTGCGACCAAAGCAAAATTCATGAGTTCGTTGTACATCTGAAAAGAAAGTGCATAAAGCATTTCAGTAAACCACAACCAATTCGGAAGTACTTTTTTGTTGCCAAACCAGGAAACAAAAACTTTTGACACTTCAGGTTAATACGTATGCTGTGATACGTAACGTCTTCATTTAAGTTGGATGTAATATAATGCTATTTCTCAATGTCAATAAAGGAATTAACTTAACAATAACATCATGTCAATTATCTCAATCTGAAACAAAAAAAAGTTGCCAACTGCAGCTATTTATTTAAAAATTGACGAAAAAATTTCGACATACAATGACGCATGCAATCACGTGCTTTCTTCAACGTCCGAATATAACCCTATATAATAATAATACACTCTTTTCCAAAAAGAATCAAAGCACCAAGAAGGACTTTTGCGATCGTGACGAAATTTAGTATACAAAAACATCTTGATCGAACATGCAAATGATCAGTTTCAAGCCATCATATAGCATCAAGCAATTGCGATCATGCGCGCATTTCTAGTGAGCAATTCACAAAGTATAAAACCAGTAACCAGAGGCGGAAATTTTTTTTTTTTTTTTTTTGCTGCCATTGTCATTCGTAAAGAAGCAACTAAAGATGACATTAAGACGATATCGAAGACCTTACAGACAACCAAACGACTTCGAACGCGGTCGCATTTTAGGGTTGTGTGAAGCTATGTGGTCATACCGAGCAACAGGCCGCCACCTGCAGCGTACAGACACTGCTGTGCGAATATGTTGGCGGCAATGGTTGGTACAAGGAAATTGCCGACGAAATGACGGCTCTGGAAGGCCAAGGATAACAAATGCTAGGCAAGACAGGATGATTGTTGTCAGGCCCGAACCGCCCCAACGATATCATTGTCGACTATTCACCGCACTACAGCCACGTCTATACCTCCCGTGGTACCGTCTACCATCTCACGGCGCTTGTCTGAGACGGGGTTACGCTCATAGAGGCCTTTAAGACGTTTGCCTTTGACCCCACAACATCGGCGGAGTCGTCTGGACTGGTGCCGCAGCCAATTATAATAGCTGCCATCAGACTGACATTCCGATATGAATCCCGCTTCACTCTTGTATCAGATGACCACTGTGTTCGTGTCTGGAGAGAACGGTCCCAGTCAGCCTTTGTTTTATAAAGGCATACAGCTATAACCCTGGTGTGATGGTCTGGGGCGCTATTTATTATGATAGCAGGTCATCTTCCGTACATCTTTAATAGCTCAACGATATGTTGATACCATCCTGCGACCGGTTACATTACCCTTCATGGCACATCATCCTGAGGCCATTTTCCAACAAGATAATGCCAGGTCACATACCGCTCGCATATTTCTCGACTGTCTCCGTGAGGTTGATACTCTTCTTTGGCCAGCAAGATCACCAGATCTTTCCCCAATCGAGCATGTCTGGGACATGGTAGGAGCCAGATTCGGCCGCCACAAAATATTACAGATCTGGAGCAACGGCTGGTGAATGCCTGGCAGAATGTGTCGCAGGATGACATTAGGAACCTCTACCACTCCTTGCCTCGACGAATTCAAGCATGCATTGCCGCCAGTTGCAGTTCGACCAACTACTAATTTGAACCTCAATGAATGATTGTGAGCAGTGAACAGGTACTATGACCTTGATTTTTTAATCATGTCACACATATTCAATTTCATCAAAAACAACGACTTCCTTCATGGTGCTTCGATTTTTTTGCAAAAGACTATGTTTAATATTTCGCAATGCTACTTTTATTTCATATTTTGTAAAACTTTGGAATTTCTTTTATTAAGGAACTCTATGATTTGAAAGTGAGCAGTGGCAACACTTTTCGATATAAAGCAAATTTTATAGTATGAATAATTATATTAATTCTAAAAGTATAACGATATGAATAATAATATTGTTGCGTGCGTACGGATTCGTTACTAAATGAATGCACAAGTCCGATGAAAAATGAACAAAAATTTATTATTATCACAACAAAAATGCTTAAATTTTCTCAAATTATCACGCAGTATTACAATATCTCACAGTAGTTTTCTTTTAACTACTCAAATGTCCAATAGAACGTAATTCAAAACAGCTAAAGAACGCTAATCCGCGAATTCGCTACAATCAACAACAGTAGTTTTCTAAACAACAACAAACTAAGCAACTACTACGAACTGAGATGTTTTCCTCCTTTTATAAGATTTTAAAATCACGCGCTAGAATTTTCCAGTACTTTTTCTCGAAATCAAAAAGAGATATTTATATTATTTTAACGCACGCGCTCTTGTATTTTTAATTTTCAATTTTCCGGCTTAGCTTTCTTTTAATATTCGTCACGCGCTGCACACTGCGCGAGAAATAAAACCATTTAATTTATAATTGAACTAACATTAGCTTTTTAAATACCAAATTCGTAACACTGCCCCCTTCCCAAGGACTGCACGTCCCGGGCAGTACAATCCCTGGACAGGAAGCTAAACTTACAACTGTGGCATAAATGCAACTGAGGCATAAACATTACATTACAATATCAAACAACATGAACAATAAATGCAATAACTAACTTGAACAAATCAAATGCTATCAAATACTAAATATAAAACAAATACTAAATACAAATCAAATACTAAATACAAATCAAATCAAATACACATTTAAAAACAAAAAGGACCATGGTCTTATACTATTTACAATTATTTACATTATGTACTATGGCCATAGTAATGAGCTAACCTGTCGTAAGAGTTCGAAGACTCACGGATCCGAACCACGACGTCATTCGTGTTTCAGGCACTGTATATGGACCATCCGAAGGTGACTGTAATTAGGACTCAGTCCTTTTCGTTGAATCGGGTTCCACAACCACACCTTGTCTCCTTGTTGGATCTCTGTCTAGTAGCTCTTGTGTCGCATCTTGGTCTTCATTTCTTTTTCTCCGTCGCCAAGTTGACTCGCTTTCGTGCAGAACGGTGCATCCCTCAAAACCGGGCCTGGGCATCTTGGATGTGTTCCTCAGGCGATGAAGGCGCATCCGTAGGGCGACTAAACAGGCGGTCACAAAGCAGACGAAGGTCTCGACCGAAGAGCTTCTGGGATGGAGAATAGCTGGTAGTCTTGAGTTTCCTTTTCGACCCTGGTATGATTTCGGCAGCTTCCCGAGCTCGATCTTTCGGACAAGGCGTCGACATTTCCAGGCGAGGATCCCTTTTGAGGATGGATAATCATGCCATCAGATGCTGAAAGCAGCTTATTGTTTTTGAAATCTAAGGAAAAATTGTATTTCCTTAAAAAG